TGACAAAAGACCAGGAAGAGGAAATGGTGGAGCGTGAGACTAGGCAGTAAGATGGGAGAAAAACCAGGAGGATGCAGTCACAGAAGCCAGACTAAGTGACATGGTTTGCTGGTTAGGAAGGCTTGGCCAGCAGGAAGGTTTAAGTTTGGGCCTGAAGCTTAATTAAAACTCCAGGAAAATATTTACTGAATATAGACACCAAACATATGTGTTTATTGTAACAAACACATCAATTCAGATAAATTACAAATTTAATAAAAGCAAAACCAAAATAAAGATCAAAGGAGGATAAAAAGTTTCAGGAGCATGCCGTTTCTTCATATTTTGAATCACTGTCTCTTAAGCAGCCAACATGGCTCCTTCACAGTTAGTCTTAGAACAATGTCCTATTGATGAGTCCATGCCAAAGTACTTTTCTTTTCACTATCCTGTTAAGAGCCCCCTGGTTAGAAAAGCCTTTGGTCAACCTCTGGATTTCAGACAACTAGCGTCTTCTTTTGAGAGCAATATGAAGGTTTCCTTCTGCAGAAGCAACAATTCTCTTGTGCAACAAATCTCCCTTCTGTGATTTTGCCTTCTGAAACAGACTGGGCTCTGTGCTTCTCTCTGTAAAAAGTATCTGGAGCCATTCCCCTACTCCAACCCCCTCTCCAATTCTTAGCTGGCAAAAAAGAGCCCATGATCTGCCCCTCTCATACTCTAGGACTATGGTGTGGTGAATCTGCTTCAGATTAATTCAGTTAAACAACTCAAGCTGAACCGGTCAAACTTTTTTTTTCCATGGGCATGATTTATTTTGTTAATAGGACCAACACATGTTATATACAAAGGTAGACATTAAATAATTATAAACAAATAATTTCATGACCTACTCCCAGCTGATTTTGCATCTCTTGCCAGATATGAAACATTTACTTTAATACATTTATAGTTACAATTTGCATAAAACCACTGAACGTGGGGATATTTTCAAAGCAGCTGCTTATGTGATGTGATTAGCAATATCTACCCCCCCCCTTTCTCACCCACACACTCTATTAGTCATTCCTCTGAGTTAATACATTAAAGGCCTCTGTTAAAATTAAAACATTATCTACTAATAGAGAGACAAATGAAGCTATTAACATTTAGCTCAAATTGATTGAAATCCTTAATCAGTAAGTCCTTTGTGAAAGGGACCCAGAAGCGGTTTTAAGAATTGAGGAAGGAAAAGAAAGGTCCAAAATGTGGGCCATTATCTGGGGAGGGAGTAGAGCTCTGATAAGCCAGGCACTAGCTTGAATGCAATGGAAGCTCAGGTGGAAGACAGACTGCTAAAAAGGTAAAGGCAAAGGTGGTTTCTAAAGGGCACTGAAGGCCGTTAGAAGCAAATCTCCCTTAAGTGACTGTTCTACCAAGAACTAGCTTGGTTCGGGTGTGTCCATGATGAAAGTGGTTGCTTCTTTACATTTTAGATAATTCTCCAGTTCTCTGTGGGGTTCATATCAAGCGAAGTCAAAGGATTCTCAGGGGTCAGTTGACTTCTGACTTGACTTTGGGTCTTTTTGAGACATGCCTTAAAAAAATAATTTTAACTACAAAAGAAATTCATTTTATAGAAAATTCGAAGTTATAAAACATATAGAATCAAACCTGAATGTTTTGAAAAATTACCCAACATAATCCGGCTCACACTATTTACAGTGTGCTCCCAGGTTCTTTTCTATGCATTTTTGGGTGTATACGTGCATCTATTTTCTTACACAACTACAGTAATCGCTACCTATTCTGTATAGTTCCTTATTCTCTTAATTTTTAAATTTGTCTTACTGTGGCAAGATATACATGACAAAATTTGCCATTTTACCCATTTCTGAATGCACAATTCAGTGGTAGTTAGTACATGTACAATCTTGTGTAACCATCTTCACTATGTAGTTTCAGATTTTTTTCATCATTCCAAATAGAAACTCTGCAACCACTAAAGAGCAACTCCTCATTCTCCCTTCCCTTCAGTCCCTGGTAACCTTTATTCTTTATTTTCTGTCTTGCTGCTCCTCATTTTTCTAAAATTGCTTTTGAAAAGTTAATACATGGGTATTATAAAAAATTCAAACAATACAAAAAGGGAAAAGGGCATATACAATGTTAAATACTTCTCCCTCTTATGCTTGACCCCCAAAGCAACCAGTGTAATCAGTTTCTTAGGTATCTTTACTGAAGAGTCTATGTATACGCAAGCATACATGGACATATGCCCTCCCCTCTTTTCACACAGTGGTAGCAAAGCATACACAGCTTGCTTTTTTCATTTAACACAATCTGAGATATATATAAATCTTATTTATCCACTCCTCTGTTATGCTAAGATGAGTTTACTTCTGACTCAACTTTTTAAAAAATTAATTTTTTATTGTGGCAAAGACACATAACATAAAATTCACCCACCCAACAGTTTCTGTACTGTCAACCACATGCACACTGTTGTGCAACAGATTCCCCAGAAACCTCCCCCACCCCAATTCCTACATGACTGAAACTCTACATCCAAGGAACAACTCTATCCTCTCTCCCCCAGTTTCTGGCAACCATGGTCTACTTACTGTTTCTATGAGTTCCACTGTTTCAGATACTTCCTACAAGTGGAATCATGCAGTATTTGTCTTTCTGTGACTGGCTTATCTCACTTAGCATTTATCCTCAAAGTTCACCCAAGTTGTAGCATATGGCAGATTTGCTTCTTTTTTAAGTCTGAATGTATATGCCACATTCTACTATATGATTTGCCACATTTTCTTTATCCATTCATCTATTGATGAACATTTAGTTTGCTTCCACTTCTTGGCTCTTGTGAATAATGCTTTAATGAACATGGTGGTACAAATATCTCTTTGGGATTCAGCTTTTGATTCTTTCAGATATATTTCCAGAAGTCAGATAGTTGAATCCTATAATAGTTCTATTTTTAATTTTTTGAGGAAACTCCGTACTGTTTTCCATAGCAGTTACAGTGTTTTATATTCCTGTCAACAGTGTACAAGGGTTCCAATTTCTCCCCATCCTAGCCAATGCTTAGAGTTTTCTGTTTTTTTTTTAAATAAAGGCCATCTTTAAGGGTATGAAGTATCTCACTGTGGTTTTGATTTGCATTTCCCTGATGATCAGAGATGTTGAGCAGTGTTTCATATACTTATTGGATATTTTTGTATCTTCTTTAGAGAAATGTCTATTAAAGTCCTTTGCCCCTTTTTAAAATTGGGTTGTTTTATAACTGGGTGGTAAGAGTTCTTCATATATTCTGGATATTAAACACTTGTTAGATACACAGTTTGCACATATTTTTCTCTCCATTCTTGCCTTTTCACTGTTGATTCTTTTGCTGTGCAGAAGTCTTTAAGTTTGGTGTAGTTCCACTTGTCTTTTTTTGCTTTTGTTGCCTGTGCTTTTGATGTGACTCATTAACTTTCACTTCTCTTAGGGCCAGACTTTCATCAGGATAGCCAGGTTCTGGTTTTTGCGTTCGTTTTCACCTGGGTGCTCTCCAGCACATTGTTTAACAGGGGTGTTGGCTAATTACTATTGGCTCCCTGATGGGATACACCCAGAGCTACCTTAATTTTTCTGGACTTGTTCCCATGCCCAGTAATGGGAGGCCTAATTGAAAGGCGGGTGTTTCTTCTCATTTTCTGGCCTCTGTCCCTTTCATCTTCCCTTTTGCCCCATGTTAGGTACAGAATCTTCTCTGGGCCTCCTCCCCCCTTCTCCCATCCTCCTTGCGAGTGGGTGGTTGGTCTCGGAGCCAATCACAGGTCAGCCTACAGCCTGGATCCAGACCAATGAGACTTCTGGGTTCCAGATAGGCCAATTAGTTTCTTAGGGACATTGAATACCTGGATAGCTGGTAAATGTCCTATTGTCTCTTGGTAAGGACCCTCTTGTTTTGCCCATCAAGAATTTGAATGTGCAAATAAAATCCAACTTTGCTTTTGTTTTGTTTTGTTTTTTAAAATTTAGTGGCTTTAATCCATCCCCACAACTTCTGCCCAAGGCCAATAAAACACAGCCATTCTCCCTTCGTAAAAAGAAAGAGGGGTTGGGTTTCCTTCAATTGTCTGCCCTTTTCTGTCTCCTCTACTATTTTTGTTTTACTCTGTAGTTAACTTTGCATAGAGCAGTTTCATCTGAGGACCTGTGCGGTGGATTTAGGCACTCTCTTCTCATTGCGGGTTGCAACGGCCCTTCGTTGTTCTAACCTGGGGGTTTGTGGGACCAGGGGGTTGGCTGGTGGGAGTATAGTTTGGCCATAGTCTTCCTTCTGCATTTCACACACATTCTGCTCTCGCTCTCTCGCGCGCTCTCTCTCTCTCTCTCTCTCTCTCTCTCTCTCTCTCTCTCTCTCTCTCTCTCTCTCTCTCTCTTTCTCTCTCTCTCCACACACGCACTCCGGTTCGGGCCCCTCTCGGTGTATCTTCCTTCAAGATGACAGGGCGCTGGAGAAAAGGCTGCTGGAATCAGCTGGTAGGTACAGTAGTAACGCGAACCCCACCCACCCGCTGCCTTTGCTTGCTCAGGTTTCTCCGGTCACTCCTGCCAGGGGAGAAAACATGTAAACGCGCCTCCAGAGGAGGGGCTGGGGGAGCTGGGAGCGGCGGGGGCGGCGGAAGGTGAGCCCGGGAAGGTGGCCGAGAGCCTCTGCTGCCGGGGCCCTTCCCAGTGCTCCGTCGGGGCGCCAGCCCCTGCCCTGTTTGCCCCCCACCCCACCCCTCTTTTCGGAGGGATTGCCTTTTTTTTTCCTCTGCGGCGGCGGAAATGACAGTGTGGTGCTGCCGTGGTGTCATGGTGCTGCCCTTGGACTAAGGGGCGAAAACTCTCAACTTTGGCTCGGGAGACTCAGCCGCGGTAGCGTCGCGGCCACGGTGCTGTCCCTGGCGGGGCGCGCTGGCGGGCGGATCCCGGCTGCTGCGCGGCGGCGGCGGCGGCGAAG